TGGGAACTTTCAGACACGTTTACCCTCATAGACTCACATGTATTCAGCCTTTGTTCCTGACGCATTCTTTACTTTCTTGAAATCTCATCAGTAGTCATTAATAATCTTCATATAGATATCTGCTCCTTTAGACATCCCTGTACAATGAATATATTCTATGCAGTAGGTCCCATTGCGTGCTTTTCAATTCAATATTAGGAACAGAGCAATTAAGATGAATCATATGAGACCCTTATTACCATGGATACCTGCAAAATACCTTTTGAGTTAGTCTTAAAGCAGAATGAAGTGTCTTGAAAAATAATGCCCTTGTCTGAATGACTTGGTTAAATTTTAATTGCCAATTGCATGTATTACGAAAATATGCCAGTTTATTGTCTTCAACTTGCTCACATACATGAGACTCAACCCTTGCGCAGCATATGTATGCATACTAGCCCCACTTACATCTGTCATATGTGGCAGGGCATTCGTTGTGCATTTGCCTGTAGCTCTCTCTGTACCAGATGTATACAAGGATTGCTGCATGCAAGTTCACCCAAAGAATATGTCTTATATCAGGCTGTTTGAATTTTTTTTTGCAAATTTGTGATGTTGTTTTTTGTTTCTTTAACTGATGGTAGTAGGCTGTTACAGAGTTGAAGTTACATATGGGATTACCAAAAACCTGAAATGTGTCCTCTTGCTTCTTGAAGCTCTGAACTTATCAGACCTCTGTAATTGCTTTCTCAAGCAATCGACACATGAGTGTCAAGGTACAGACTTTCTGACATGCGATGATCTGTGATGCCATAAATTATATGACCTTATATTATCTTGTTCTGAAGTCTGCAAATTAAGGTGTTAAACTCTGCTAGAATTCAAAGCATGTGGCAAAATTTTCCACTTATTCCACTCTGTATATATCATTCTTATGTGTAAAGAAACAAAGGAAGGAATTAAAGGGAGTAAGAAATATTTGAAGGGGACAAAATATCAAAAAAAAACTCACCAAAGACAGCAGCACATTAATTATTTATTTATTTATCTATTTATTTATTTATTTATTTAAATATGAGGCATCTGGGTGAAGAATAATGATGTTTTTAATCTTTGGTTCCACCAGACACAGAAAGAAGTCAATTTGCTATTCTTGTTTTCTTCTGGCTTCCCTAAAGTATTCAACTCTCAGACCAGTCATTATGAGCCTTGTAATTAAATTGCCTTGGAATGAATATCTCTGTTAAGAAGTTGTTTGTGGACATTGCTTTCTACAGAGCTTTCTTCTTCACAAAACATGTTAAACTTGTACCGGGTTTCCATGATTCCACTTTGCCACAAAATTTAGAATGTCTATATTATTTAAGAAAAAGCTAAGTGTACAGCTCTGATCGGCAGTGCGCTTTTATTCATTCTTAGCCAAACAGCCATATTAAGGTGAACATTTCCTGAAAAAGGAAAGCATTTCAACCTCTTAACCACCCCTATATTTACACTCTAATAACAGTCCACATAAATTGTATTACTTCACAAGCCCCAAGTATTACAGCTTTATGCGACTTCATTTCCTTTCTCACCACTGATGAGTGTAGAAGTATTGACTAAGGAAGTTAATTAAGAGCAGATTTTCTAATGATTTTAATATGCAATAAAAGACAGTAAATTATAAAAAAACTGTAGATAAAGAATGCACATCCAGCTCATGGCAATAGAGATCTCATGGTATGTAGCCTTCCAAGAAATGTATTTAACTTGCTGCTGAGTGGAAGATATCTTTTCCCCCTACTTCTTTCTCAAGAAGCAGCTGATCATTTTAAAACAAAGTAGAGAAGGTAAGTGAACCTCTCATCTTCATAGTTAATCAGCTAGGAAGCAACATGGAAGTGTAATCTTTTTTCTTTCCATAAACCCTCCTATAAGCTCCCCTGCACCAGGGTTTAACTCCCTGTGGATTTTAGCTTTTTTAATTAACACTTTTCAGTAGATATAATGAAACATGCTTAGACTGGTTTACAGAGATACCTAAAAGAAAGATTTTGTCAAAGTTTCTGGTCTCTCTGATAGTACTGGTGACAACTGTGAATGACACTGGAAGTGATGAATGAATGATTATGCTGTTACTTCCCGACAGGGAAATGAGAAAAACACTTGAAATTAATGTGTCTTAGATAAATCCTACCGAAGTCCATCTGAATTTCAGTCTTTTGACTCAGAATCTATTTGGAATTAACATGATAAAGAAATGAACTCAACAGAGCTATGGTTGTTTAATACTCCTTAGTCATCTGACACCTGAAAATCAGCAATCTCCTTTTGCAATCTGGAAGGAGAGATTACCATTATGGACATAAATATGAAATAAATGAAACAACAGAGGATACACATGAATAAAATTTTGATTTCATTTTGCCTATATATAGAGGCTTTGTTCTTATCAAAATAGAGTTGTCTGGTGTTATTCAAGATACACTGGGGTAACCTTCCTGGTCTCCTGAAGTGGGTCCAGACAGATGTGGTTTTCCCATATTTCCTTGTCCCACATCTGTTAGCTCTTTTATGGATGTATTATGTTGGTCATGGCATCTGAAATAATAAAAATATGTATGTTTAACACCCTTTTTGTTGCTAAAGTCATTTCATATTCAATGCATTCAGTTCAATCTATGTGGTAGTGTGAGATTCAGCTGCTTAAATATAGGCATCCATTGATATTTCAGACAACTTAAATTTTCTAAAAGGCTGGAAGCCTTTTATTATTTACAGTAGACATGTGATGCTGTGTTGATCTTTGCAAGAAGTGAAACATGAAAGGTGAAAGAATGGAATCTTTATGATATCTATGCACAATTCATAAAATGTGAAAACATGCCCTCCATCTCTATCTTCCATTAAAAATTAAAATAATTATTATAAAAATTTGCTGTGAATATATTTATTCACATCAGTCTCAAGATTTACCAGATTTCTAGAATATCTACTTTTAAAAGGGCTAAATTATTTTAAATTTATTAATTCTGAAACTACACTTTTCACTACCAAAAGCCATGTAGGCTTCATTAAACTAGAAAGACAGAGGTGAATATGTTTAAGCAATTGTGAAAGTAACTGTTTAAGGGAAATTTGTGAGAAAGCATAATTTTAAATTGGAATTTTATGTGTTTGTGAGATTTATTATTTTTCAAAACATTAAGTAATATAAGAGATTACTAGGGCAGAATTTAAAAAATCATCAACATGTGAGTATAATACAAGAAGTAAGTACTTTTTGTGGCTGTGGACAAGGCTTAGTTTTAACAAGATATGCTCTATGAATTATAATTATACCTACTGAGTTAGAGTTGATAGTTTGTGTAACCTGTGAAACCTGTGGCAACTCTCTCCAACTATTAAAAAATAATCCAGTGACGACTTCTTATTTATCTCACATTAATTTCATAAAAAACGTATCAACACAATAACAGGAGTTAGATGTAAAATTAAAAAAATCAATAAAGAACTCATACAGTTCCACTGTAAGATGGAACCTGCTGTAGTGTGGGCTCCTCTCCACGGGTCCACGGGTCCTGCCAGGATCTTACTCCAGCATAGGCTTCCCACAACATCACAAGCTCCTTTGGGCATCCACCTACTTCAACGTGCGGTCCTCCACAGGCTGCCGGTGGATATCTGCTTCACCGTTAACCTCCATGGGCTGCAGGGACACAACCTGCCTCGCCAGGGGCTTCACCACTGGCTGCAGAAGAATCTCTGCTCTGGCACCTGGAACACCTCCTCCTCCTGCTTCACTGACCTTAGTGTCTGCACAGTTTTATTCTCTCATATATTCTTAGTCCTCTCTCCCAGGTGCTGCTGGGCAGCAGTTTTTATCCCTTCTTAAATATGCTATCACAGAGGCACTACCAGTTTCACTGATTGGCTTGACCTTGGTCAGAGGTGGGTCTGTGTTATTCCAGATGGATCTGGCTCTAACAGACATAGTGGCAGCTTCTGGTGTCATCTCAGAGCAGCCACCCATGCAGTGCTGCCCCCACACTAACAAAATCTTCCTACATAAAGCCAATACAGTAAAAAGTAGAGTGCATCAGAAACAGGGGAAAAAAATTATATATATATATATATATATATATATATATATATATATATATTTAGTCAATTTAGCAAGATATTGTTGTAAAACATATTTATGGGGTTTTTTACTGACAAAGAATCTGGAAAGTAACACAAATTTGAAATGTGTTCCAGTGGTTTTCACTGGAAACATGGAACTGTTGTTATATTTTATGATTGCATATTTTACCTTAAATTCAACCTTTAAAATTTTCTGAAACTAGCTAAGTTTTGTCTGAAACTATACAAAGCTATAACACATTCAATGAATCACAGTGGAACAGAATCTCTGGGCTTACTTTGGCTTATAGTTGATAAATAATAGAATCTGAGATAATATTGTTTGCAGCATCAAAAATCAAAGACTAATATATTAAAAACAGCAGCATTGCACTGATTTATATTTACAAACTGAAATCTGCCTGAATTGAATAAGATGTGTATTAATCATTAGTGACAATATTACTGGTCTTTTAGTCTGGGGTTTTCTCAGTTCCATTTGTAAATTGTTTATGTGTTGAATGAAGCATTCTGCCAACAATTTCAATATGATTTTCCTGAGCTGATGCACCTTTGCTAATTCTTTATATTTTTTACTTATAATAAGCAAAGAAATACCAAGTAATAAAATTTTTGTAACGGGCATATTCTTGCATTATCAAGGTTGACTAGCTGCCATAATAGGGTAAAAAATTATAGACTACAGCAGTTGCAGATCAGTACAATATGTTTACAACAACTTCTGCTGAGATACTAAAATTGCTATGAATATTTTCATATTAATTTTTCTAAAAATGCAACTTCTCAAATATCTAAAATGCTAGCACTTCCGACAAAATGATGACCTTTCAATTATGAGTAAATAAATATTTTCTATTTTCTTAACTTTTAAGAGCTTGAGGACTAGTATGAAGACAACTTGCAGAAAGAGGACCATAGTTCAAAAAGGTGAAAATAAAGTCATATTTCAAGACAGCTGCAGGTCTGATGACTCCTTGAAGAATATGTATTAAGTTCTCAAAAAGTCAAGAACTTGAGTCATCAGCAAACGTCAACAGATCCTATTCAGAATATGCTGTTTGGAAACTATTACCTAGACAGAATTTTATTTTTCAAGGTATGAAAATGTTAGTAGCATCTCAGTTACTGTTTCTGAATAACTCCTTCTTTCTTCTTATAATTCTTAACCAATAACATTTAGATCAATTCTCATAATGAAGGAGTTTTCTTGATGAAGAGAAGACACATCTATGTTTATATTACAAAACCAGAGACTATAATCATAATGTATCAGAGCATTTTTTGATACTACAAGGTCATAGAAGATCATGAATTCCAGTGGCTGTCTAAACTACAGATAAACATGCAACAAGCTTATCTCATTGCAATTTGAATAAAATTTTGAATAAAATTTCATCTAGCATATGGTCCCAGCAACTCCCAGCTGGCACATGGTCCTTTGCACAGTCTGCAGCAGCCCCTGGTGGGTTAACACTGGGCAGCAAATCAAAGATCCATTTCTACCAGACACTCAACTGCTGAAGTTCAATGCATCAAAAGCTGTATGAGTAAGACTCAAAAAGTTCAGTGGTAATGAGGAAGAAAAAGTAGTTGCATCAAAGGCACAAAAATATTCATGCTATCTATCTGGGAAATTAATCTATTCTTTATAATCAGAAATTAGATAAATTCTTGAGTAAGTATTAAGGGTAAAAATGAAGAGTTGTACAGTGACTTAGTGACATAAACACCTATCTGATCTTTTGCCACACCTTTCTCCTTAAGACCTTAGCAAAGTGAATGAATGAGGGTGGGCAAGGGGGCAAAGATGTAGGGAGCAAAACTTCATTGATTGGATAAAGGTTGTCCACCCATCCCTAATGATTTCTATATTCCTCATGCTTTTAATAGATAGTGATACCAAGGAATTTTTTACTGTTACAGATTATCTACATGATATGGAAGATTTAAGAACGTTCTTCAAAATTTTGTGAACAGTCCTTTGTAGGCAAAATGGAAGAAGTAAAATCCCAAATTTGAAGATGCAAATTGTTATGTTAATGTTGTTCATGTCTCTTTCAATTTGAAACAAAATACATCTCTTTGTGAATACAGACACATGCAGTAGGATTTTTAATTGATTGATATATGATTTTGTGTGATGACAATGTATCTCTCACACTCCAGTTTCCTCAGAAAATAAAATTGAGGCCTCTTATCTGACAGAGTTCCCTCTTTACAGGTTTCTAAAAAATTAACAGTCAAAAGGGGAAAACGAAGTTCTTTGTGTCTGCCTCAATTAAAAATTGTGTGTCACTAAAGTATAAGCATACATTCCTGGTCCACTGAAATTATTGCTTGTTTTAGTTACTGTAATTACTAACTTTGGGATAGAAGATGTCTATTTGTCAATGTTTTTTTTCCTATGAAAAATTCTAAGACATTGTTAAAGCCTAATAAAATTATATTCCCTGGAAAGCAAATGTAGAAGATAACTATTTGACAGTCTTTATAGTTGACAGAGTTTATAATGAGACAGACTTTTAAATTGTACTCATTATTCATTTAATATCTATTTATATATATATATATATATATATTACTAATGCATGAATTATTATTGTCTGATAGCAATAACTTAAGGAATTGTCTGGATGCATAATACTAAGTTAAGTTGTACATTACCAGAAGGAGTATTTACTGTCAGATTTATGGTTGTAGAACACTGCAAGTAACTGAGTATACATGACATTCTACATTAAAAATATTTCACATGAAAGCAAAATAAGAATGATATAAAAATTATCTATAAAATATCAACAACATTACTTAACGGATCAAATTTCTCTTTGATAATGCATGTTTTGATTCAGAATTCGTAAAGGGAATAAGTTTTTTTCTTGGTTTTGGAGTGATTGGAATAACAAAAGCAAAACTAAAGGTGCTATATTTGAAAGATTCTCCAACAGAAAGTGAGTTGCTGATTGTTGGATTTTTAGTTAATTTTTAAGCCACAGGAGCAATATCTCTCTTAATATTTTGTGTAGATTACGTGTTTTCATTTCTGTTCAGTTGCACATAGTTCTAAAGGTGTTATAAAGATGTAAAGAAAGAATGAATTTTATTTCAGTTACTGCTAAATAGTCATGGTAATTCCGAGTCCAAATCTAGTATTTAAATTACAGTTCTGTCCTTTACCTCCAGGAAGTTCACAAGCCATCTCCCTTAACTTGTCGTGCTGTGCCCCAGCTTTTGTTTATCCATCTGCAAGCAAGTAATATTTTTTATCTTTTCAAAAATGTAAACCAAATGCTGCCTTAGCAAAAAAAAAAAATATAGCTTTGCAAGCATTCTTTAAAGTGTGCCACATGTTTTTAAACCCAGCATGTGGCTGATTAGCCCACCACATTTAAATCTAAGGAAGGAAATTAGAAAAAGTAAAGATTATCCCTGCTCTGTATTCACAAACAGCTGAGTGAAAGAGAACTACACTAGGAACACAGACTTACTCACATCTCTGTGAGTGGGTTTTAATACCAAATATTTCAAGAACTTTTTTTTCCCCCCTTCACTCCAAGTAAATGTATACACAATAGTTTAGAGAACTAAACTCAACATTTAGTTGGGAACTGTCAGTATTAGGTTAATAGTTAGACTAGATGATCTTCAAGGTTTTTTCCAACCTAGATGATTCTGTGATAATCTGATTTATTTATTTAAAAAGGATTCCAAAAGTTACTTAATTGGGGTGTGGGGGTGTGTGTGTGGGTGTGTGTGTGTGGGTGTGTGTGTGTGTGGTGTTATTTTTTGAAGTAAACCCAGATTTAACTTAATTAAATACAAAAATCTCTAAAATGTTCATTTCACTATTGGATATTATTGATAATATAATGGTAATGTTGTTGTAGAAGAGTAAACTTGTAAAATTTGAAGCCACATGAAGTCTCCACAAGCAATCTGGCACTAACGCTCCATCAATGCAGGAAAAACAAAAGTACTCTCCTTTTGTTATCATCCGTTTGTAACTCCTTGTTCTGCCAGAGAACAGCTTGTTTTCTTCTAAACTATGATCTTGTTTTTGCTCCTGGTGTGAGAGTGAACCCACATGCAGTGCATAGGAGGTCTCAGGCTGTGTGTGTTGAACTAGCGGAGAATAATCAGAGCATCTGTCATGCATCTGGTGGGACGGGAGGTTGCTTGATGTGTGAGCTGGAGGGTGCTAGCAGGTGTGGCAAGGCACAACACCCATCCTTTGTGCCAGGACTGTTCTACACAAGCCTCTGCACTGACCATGGGGAAGCAAAATTTCTCTCATGTGGCTGTAGGATTATTCACACTGTTTTAACTCCTGGAAAACCACAACTTGAATAAAATCTAGAATGCCCTGAAGTCATCAGGGTTATATCTTGATTACAGTGTAGCTATGATTAGGAGATGAAGGCCCAATATATCTACCATTTAATGAGCATTAGAATGTATAGTACTTTCTTGCTGAAGTGATCATATGCTACTGAACTGATGCCTCTTGCTGACCAGTAAATGCACCCTAATAAAGGAGAAAATTAGAACTGTGATAAAAGACACCCAACTAGCTATCTCAAGTAGTTAGCTAAGACAAGATGGGAATGCATTTCTCTACATAAGCAAGTGAAACATCCTTTTATTGCTTCAAAGTAATGAACATAGCATGAGAAATTGTGTAACTTAGTAACTACGCTTGATATTTGTCTGGTATTCATTTCATATAGCAAGAGTGTGGTCAATTAAGTGTTTATTCTGAGAAAAATGAGGTCAATATATCTAAATGTTGCCCCTTTTTAATTTAAGCAACTTCACCAAATTATAACAATAACAAGTTATCCTTTGATTAGTTCCTGTGTGCTTATTAATATAAAAAATGTCTTTCAGCAGGAGTTATTGAAGTATTATGAAAGTCAACAAATTTGATAACATCAACATTTTATTCCTCATTTGAAATATTCTGGTTGTCACAGTTAATACTGAATGATAAAGAAACAATGACTACTTGGATAGGAAATCATTATCACATTTCCATTTAACAGATTAGAAGACTTTTACAAGATAAAATTTATTTTTGCTGAGTTCCATATGGTAGTGACTTGTGCAGCTGCAGAAAGAAATTGAATTTCTTCTTAACCACATCCAACATGCAATTTTAAGGGTTTCTGTTTATGTCAACAGGTCTTGAAACCAATTGCTTTCTCTTGGATTTTTTTACTTTGTCTTTCAATTGCCCTAAAGGTAGCTTCACTGTGGATGTACGTGAGACATTGGATTTCTAACCAATCACATTCCCACTGGTTAAAATGATATTTTTCTATATCTGAGGACTAGTTTGTAACCCTTCTTAGACATTTGATCATGCAGTTTGTTTTCTTGTAGTTTAGCTATATCTGCCTTTTTTTTTTTTTTTCCCAAAAAAAGTTCACATAATCTCTTTTCTCTGAGTATAGTACTTACATACAGATTGAAATTTGTTTTTAAATCCCACTGCTCGATTTGAACAGTTTCAGATTGCTTGTCCAGAGAAACCATTCCTATTCCTAGGCTATATCACTATCACATTGCATTTTATAATGTGATCACGTGTCTTCATGATCCTCTTCAAAACACTTAGATTATTTGATGAAGAAGTATTCACACTGTACTGCAGAGGTAACTATTTGTTTTCAACAAAAGCCTTGGTCATTTGTCATGGTTTAAGCCCAGAGGGCAACTGAGCACCACACAGCCATTCACTCACCCATTCCTCCCCAGCACTGGGAAAGAGAAAATGAAGCAAAAGGTTGCAGAATAAGGCAGATATAACTAAATTAAACTACTCAATTCAGATCAGTTATCTCATTATTTTAATTTTAATTTCTGTTAATGAATCAGCTACGTTTTGGCCATGTGTTGACTAT